AAAAGGGAGAAATCACCCCCCAGGGGGGATGGCCACTCCACAATCCCTTCTCCTCCATTCTCCTCTCGGGATCTTGGGCACACATGAACACGCGCCTGGCATGAGTTTAAGCGACCAGGTCTGGGACTCAAACCGCAGTTGACTACATGGGAGTCCAGCGACATAGCCATTACACTAACTGCTGGTCCCCCATCATATAGTCTTCATCACAGTTGCAATTCCATATACTGTATTATTTAATTTGTGTATTATTTCTTCTGCAGTTAGCCATGTGAGAATCCAGTGCCTTCAACACACCACCTGCTGGCCCATGTTGCTTCTTTTAAAACTCACTATTTTTGCAAATTGATTACAATTTCTTATTCAATTTCTCATTCTAAAGTTTGACTATTTATATTTTTTTTAAAGTGCTTTAATTTTAGAACATATGCTTTCCTACCAATGACAAAACTTCTCTTCCAACCAAAACAAGTTCTTCACCTTGCGGGAGACAATGTAAGGCAAACTGTCCTTTTGGTTGTACAGGAAACAAGGCTTATGGGTACAGGAGCTTCTTGTTGGGGTACTATGCTACTTCCCTCTTCACCTTGCAGGAGACAATGTAAGGCAAAGCAAACTGTCCTTTTGGTTGTACAGGAAACAAGGCTTATGGGTACAGGAGCTTCTTGTTGGGGTACTATGCTACTTCCCAGTCCAGTTCCACAATGTCCTCACCATGCTAAGAAAATCAGACTTGTAGTTCTAGCTTGAAAGAAACCCTGGAGCCTGAGGGATTTCCAGCTGTGCTGTACACTCTCCTTTGATAAATGTCTCAGTGAACTGCTCACAAACGTGTTCAAGCTTGCATCCCGTTCTGTCTTTGATCTTGGCGATAATACGAAGGTTCCATGCTAGGCTATTTTTCTTCCTGCATTATTAGTGGCTTTTGCACTCCGTTGAATGTAATTGTCAATTTGATCCAATTTATATGCCTCCTAAAAATTCCTAAGTGCCTTGGGCTTACCAGTTTTCAACCACTGCTGTTTCACATTTTTATATTTATTTTGTCATCTTAATATGAGCTTAAGGTAAAGGAGATAGGAGTACATGCACTTAGCTTTCCTTGACTGAAAGTTTACAATGAAAAACACCAGAACAAAAACTCAAAACACAGTGATAATGAGGATGGTTTTATTGACTTATAGGACACATAAAAATAAAATATTTGAGTAGAATTTAACCATTTATTCAAAACTAGAAACTTTACACATTAGAAAGTACATTTTTAGTGATTATCTAAACTGTTAACTATATGTTATCTAAAGTCTCTAAAATTGAGGGAAATATTTAATTATACATACAATCTCCAAACGGGTAAAAAGCATAATCAACTAAAATGTATGTCAATGAAAACAAATTAAAGTGATTCCTTTTTCGTTTGTTTGTTAGTTCTTGCTATGGGGCATGTGCGCTCACCAGAGAGAGACAAAGAGAGAAAGAGAGGGAAAATGAGAAATCACCCCCCGGGAGGGATGGTCACACTTCAATTCCTTCTTCTCTATTCTCCTCTGGAGATTTTGGTCACCCTCTCACACATGCTCAGCATGTTTTTCAAGTCACCAGATCCAGGATTCAAAATGCAAAGTTGGCCATGCGGAATCCAGCCACCTCAACCACCACACCACCAGCTGGCCTCAATGAATGAAAGTTTTTAATTAGAGTAGTGCTCTTGTATATTAAAGAAATGTGGCACGCATAATTAGTGTTAGTTCCCTTTCCCCATTTTATATTAAAGAATCACATACTCTCCTCTCTTCCAAGTAAAGTATATGAAAATCCCATGTATACAAAATCTTAAAGTTTTACCTCCCCTAACATTATTTTATCATAAAGTTCTTTGGTCAATGGAACATAAGATTTTTTCACGCTATCCATGAAGTAAAGTGGATCAGAAATTTTCAGTGGATTAAATCCTTCTTCCACCAACTGAAACTTCTGTAGTTTGAATGTCCCCGTAGTTTCCATTTTTTCCTATAAAATAGTTACCGAGATGAGTGGAAGCATTTAACACTATTTAAATAGCTATAATATAGAGTCAAAATATTTAATACTATAAACTGTGATATTTAACTATAATTTTATATCTAAAGATCTTTTCTATATTGCTAATAAATTAATGTTAGAAATAAAGACTATCATGTAGAATATTAAAATCTTTAATTTGATTTACCTATAAATTTTCCTCAGATATTAGCTTACTCATATGTAAGAATTATGAATGAGGGACTAACAGATGACGTTATGGCTCTGTTGCTGGACTCCCACGTAGTTGACTGCAGCCTGAGTCCTGGACCTGACAGCTTAAACTCATTCCAAGCTCATGTGTTTGACTGCAGCCTGAGTCCTTGAGCTGTCTGACAGCTTAAACTCATTCCAAGCTCATGTGCGTGTGTGTTCAAAGTCCCAAGAAGGGAATGGAGGAGAAGAAATTGCAGTAAGGCTATGCCCCTTGCGGGGTAGGGGGGATGATTTCTCACTTTCTGTCTCTCTGTTTCTCTCTGTCTCTCTGGTGAGCACATGCACACTATAGCAAAAAACTTCTCTCTTAAAAAAAAGAATTATGGATGTAATCAATACACTGATTACACATATATCTAAAACACACAGGCTATCTCCTTAATTCCATGCCAATTAAATATCACATGTAGGATTTCAACAAACAAAGACCCTCTGCCCAGACTGCACCCTGGTCTAGCCAGGAGCCAGGATAAGCCAATCAGCAACCATCTACATCTCAGTTAAAAGTGGCCCCTTTCATGGATTTCAACCACTGAAGGCCCTCTGCCCATACTTCACCCTCTTGCTTCCCGCTGTAGCCAGGAGCCAGATTTAATTCCAAAAGATACGAAAAAAAGTATAATCCATCAGATGACCAGAAACCACTGCAGAGGCACAAGAGATATAAGAAATGAAGAAAATACCTCTCTTCTAATGGTAAAGAATAACTCCTCTTTCTCTATAAAGAATACAAGGAAACTCAGGACCAGCAGTTAGTGTAATGTCTATGTCACTGAACTCCCAAGTAGTCGACCGCAGTTCAAGTCCCGGACCTGGTGGCTTAAACTCACATCGGGTGCGTGTGCGTGCGTGCCCAAGATCCCGAGAGGAGAATGGAGGAAAAGGGATTGCAGTGTGGCCATCCCCCCTGGGGGGTGATTTCTCGCTTCCTGTCTCTCTGTCTGTCTGGCGGGCGCATGTGCCCTGTAGCAAAAACCTCTCCAAAAAATAAAATAAAATAAAATAAAAAAGAAAGAATACAAGGAAACTCATGGGACTGTCAAATAAAGAATTTTAAATGTTGATAGTGACAAAGCTAACAGAAATGCAAGAGAAAAAAGACACTGAGTTACGGGAGGTGAGGAAGTTCTTGCATGATCTGAAAGAGGAGATACACATCATAAAAAAAGAACCAAATGGAATTGTTAGTGATGAAGGCTATAATATAGGAAATCAAAACTTCTTTTGAAAGTATCAAAAGCAGATTAGACCATGCAGAAGATTGAATCTCAGATATAGAAGATAGAACATCTGACCTAGAAAAATTTACTGAAAAGACTGAGAAAAGAGTCCCCCCAAAATGAGAATAACATAAGAGTGATACTAGATACCATTAAAAGCCCAAACATCCAGATCATCAGTATCCCCAAAGGTGAAGGAACTAATAAGGACATAAACTATTCAATGAAATACTAGAAGAAAATTTTCCAAACCTAGAGAGGCATTCAAACATCCAGAACCAAGAAATACAAAGGACCCGACATAGAATCAACCTAAGATCTTTCCCAAGGCACATAATAGCCAGGTTGACCGAAACCAGACAGAGACAAAGGATATCCCATAAGGCTAATGTTGGACCTCTCATCGGAAACAATGCAAGCAAGGAAAGAATGGGAAAATATATTCAAAGTGTTAAGTGAAAAACAATTTCAATCAAGAATACTATACCCAGCAAGATTATCTTTAATATGTGGGGGGGAAAAAAGACAAAAATATTCTCTAATGAACAAAGCCTGAAAGCATTTACCAACACCATAGCAGCTCTCCAAAAAGTGCAGAAGGGAATACTGTACCAGGAAAACTAAAATTGAACACACAGAAATAAGAGTACAAGAAACAACCAAAACAAGGTCCAGCCTAATGGTAGAGATAAGTCCGGAGTTGAATGTTAAATTCCAGAGTTTGAATGGAAAATCAGACCACAGTAACAATGCAAATTCAATAGGAGAGAGATTAATGATGTGAGTCTGAACTAGTGAAATAGAATTTTTTGACTTTAGACTAAAATATTACTGATTTTCTTTGATGCTTTGATTTCCATATTTAAGGATTTTTGTCTTCTCTTGAATCCTTGAAAGGTTCATCTACCTACTATTTGAACTGAAACCTAACCTTTTTCCTGGTTTTAAGTTTTAAGCAAATTTCTCTTAACACTATTTGATTTTGATCTTTTAAAACTAACATTTTGTTTGAAATTTAAAAATTATTTAAAAATACCTATTAATACCTATGAAATAACTACAGTAAGCTATATAGCCCCAGAGAGGTGCTACTTTATAGTATATTCACTTTACTCACTGAGGTTTATGCCTAAAGTCAGAAATGTATTCTTAAAAATGTATCTATCAACTGTGCTTGATATTGAAAGTCTTTAAATTAATTAAGATCTTTAGTGATACAATCTAAAATGTGAAAAAATGATGTAACATTATTTGATGATGATGATGTGGATAGTAATGTCTTTGTCTTGAATGATATGCATGGTAGTTTTGCTGGGCAAAGAAATGTAATACACTGTAAAGATATATGTGATTTAATATAATATTAAACAAGTTTATGATAATAAATAAAAGAGGAAGAAAAAATATATCACATACAGAGGATATTATTAGATACTAAGGGGTTAAAAGGTGTGAAAACCAACAATTTCTAACACAAGTATGTATAAATCTATACACAAGGCAGGATACTGTACGAACCAGATGAGGTACAGAATGCTCTAAAACCTGGGTTCCCAGAATGCACCAAAGTGCCTCGATAGATTTTTCTAGGGCCCACAGATATCTTTAAAATTTCACTGGAGGGCCGTCAGATGCCATAGTGGTTAAAGCACTGGACTCTCACATGGCTGACAGTGGTTCAAGTCCTAGTCCAGTGGCTTGAAACTCACATCGGGTGCATGTGCATGTGTGCCCAAGATCTCTAGAAGAGAGTGGAAGAGAAGGAATTGCAATGTGGCCATGCCCCCAGACGGGTGATTACTCACTTTCTGTCTGTTTCTCCAGTGAGCATATGCAACCAACAGCAAAAATCTTTCAGAACGAAACAAACGAAAATTTAAGTGGAAACCAGTGACATCTGTTGGTCACCACTTGCGAGCTACTAACTACAAATACTTTACAGTTTCGCTATTAGTTTGTGATACATTTCTTTTAATGATGTCATATCTTTACACAAGTGGGCTTTTATTTGTTGCTGTGATAAAAAGCAAGTATGGTTATACTTAATGTGGGACACTTATTTCTTTCATGAACAAGAGACTGAAAGAGAAATAGCATGTGTGCATGCACACGCACTCTCAACAGGATCTGACACCATGATCCATTCCCAATCTTCAGCCAGTCTGGGATCAAAGGTAGGCATGTCCCTGATGTATTATAGATAGGCATGTTCCTGATGTATTCACGGAAGTCTGTCTCCGGACTTGAACTGGAAACCTTCCCATGTAGGTCTGCCTTGCAGAATGTCACATTTTACTGCTGGGCCACTATTTGCCCCACCCCCACCCCCTTTGCAATGCTTTTATTAGACGATTTATTTATAATTCACTTATTAAATAAATATCTTGACTTCTGACTGTCAGGCTATGAAATAACTATGACAATTATAAAATAAACCTAACAGTCATAGCCCATGTTCTTTTTAGGTGTTTAATTGTCCTACAACATTTCCTAAATTTGTGCAAGGTCGATCTAGTCTCCTAAAGCAGAAATTTTTATTCTGGTTAATGAAAGTGATTCCAGGTTGTCCTAGGGGGTAAATGATTACAATATTATTTGCTCTATCAGCTTTTATTCCATCAAAAGATGTTATTTATGGAGTGGGGTGAGGCGAGGCAGGAAGTGGCTGGATATGGTTATAAAAGGACAATACGAGGGATCTGCACAGTGTTGGAACTGTTATCCTTACTGTGGTCACAGGTACATGAAGCTACACAGGGGATAAAAGTTTACAGAAAATACACACACAGCTCAAATGAGTACAAGTTAAAAAAAAGAGAAATTTTAAAGTGGGTAGATCGTATTAACATTTTGGGTGTGATAGGCTTGTAGAATGTAACCCTTGGGTTAACTGGGTGAAGGATATATTAGATCGTTCTGTATTATTTTGCATTGCTGCCTGTGAATCTGCGATCATCTCAATAAAATTTTGATTACAATATATTACTTCTGCTTCATATGTACTTACTTTTAATATTTCCTTTTTAAAGAGTTTATTTATTTATTTATTTATTCATTCCATGAGAGAGGGAAACAAAGAGAAGGAGAGAGAGACAGGCGCCCCCAACAGACTCTTCATGCTGCAATCCTATCTCCAGTTCAACCTCAGTCAGCCAGAATCCCAGCACATACGTGTGTACTGGATGTGCACAGAGACCTGGAGACGTGAACCCGGTATCTCCCATATGACCTCAGTATGCAAGCATTATGGTCTAGCTGCGTCACTACAGCTCACTAACCTTTAGTATTTCAGAAGACCAGTATGAAAATAATATAAATTACATAAAAGCCCTTAAAATAAAAAAGACGAATTAACTATGTATTTAACAACAGATAAACACACGAGAAAAGATGTAACTGAAGTATGTATTTAAGCAAATTAAGGGGCCAGCAGATGGTATTGTGGTTACATCGCTAGACTCCCACATGGCTGACCACGGTTTGAGTCCTGGACCTGGTGCCCAAGATCCTGGGAAGAGAATGGAGGAGAAGGAGCTGTGGGGTGGCCATCTTCCCTGGGGGTGATTTCTCACTTTCTCTCTCACTGTCCCTGTCTCTCTCTCTTTCTCTGGAGAGCGCATGTGCTCTAAGGCAAAAAACAAAAAACCTTTAAACAAAAAATGCAAATTAGACATGTAGTTATGCAAATTGAGTATGTATTTATTTATGACAATGTGTCTCATTGGATAAGAAGTGACTTGGCTTCAAGGATTGCTTGAGAAATGCTTAAAAATGAAAATAATACTCTCCATTTCTCTACTATAGATCTAACAGTGATATAACATATGTAGTCAAGAAAAGTCTGTGTGATGGTATGTTAGGAGTACTAACTCTGGGAAATCACATTTGAGGCATGATATCAAACAAACAAATGAGTAAGTAAACTCACTTAGAAGCTGAGTACATTTGTTTTCCTTTTATTGTACTTTAAAGTAGTAGCCTAGTAAGAGAAAGTCTTCATCCCCAAAACAAATGCATTCCAAATTCTCCAAAATACAAGATCCAGGGCGAGGAGGAAGTTGAACAGAATGAGAATAAAAATTAATTTTATTTGTTTATTTATTTTAGAGAGATTTTTGCTATAGGGTGCATGTGCTCGCTGGAGAGACAGAGAGACAGAAAGTGAGAAATCACCCCTTGGGGGATAGACATGCTGCAATCCTTTCTCCTCCATTCTCCACTTGGGATTTGGGGCACACATGCACATGTTCCCGGCCTGAGTTTTAAGTCGCCAGGTCCAGGACTTGAATCATGGTCAACTGCATGGGAGTCTAGCAGTGTAACTATGACGCCATCTGCTCGTCCCGACAATAAAAATTAAAAGTGGGAGAGCTTAAAGCCAGTGGCCTGTAGGTTCTGCACACAAACTGTGGACACCTTGCTATCTGCTTGGGGGTACCTAACCCTAGGCACATTTAGTGAAGAACTGAATATCTTCACAAGATGTATGTGAGAAGAGGTTTTGGCTTGCCACCCACACTGGACCCTCGTTTTCTCTGCAGGGCCAGTGACTGAAGAGGAAGATAGCAATTCTAGAATCACGACAAAGATGGATCCATCCTAGCATTTCACCCCGAACCTTCTATAACGAGGCTTCAAATGTGGCCTCAATGAGCATCAACCCTACATCCCAGTGTTTCTCTCTACTCCTAACATTTTCTAACATAAAGAAAATGCACCTGTTATCTAAAAGATACCGTATTATCTTACAATTAAACCACCTCTAGTTTCCTGGTCTTAAAATTGATAGCAAAATCAGACAGTAAAATTACCTGAACTCTTAAAAATCGTGGGCAGGCATAAGATGGTAGAGATGTTACAACTTGTTCATAAATTTTTTCCAAGTCCAAAGACTTATTTGGTTTTAAAATAATAGAAGCCATTCCTGCCTTTCCTTCATTACCTGAAATAAATGTTTGAAAAGAGGCCATTTTATAAATAGTAGACAGGATTTAAAAAAAAAAAAAGCGATTCTGTTCCTTAATACTGATTGTTACAAATAACGGGCATTAAATCTACGCCAGAATAACAACAGGACAGTAGCATAAGTGAGTGAGTCCTCCTCTGAGCATCTGTTCTCCCTAGAAATAACTTAAGAACAGGGACGGTTAGAGACCATCCATAACTGTTGACACTACAGAAATGGAAACATCATAAATGATCCTTAATTTTCACCCTGCCACCATTAACACATAAGTAAGAAAATATTTATCTAAAGGCAAATAAGTTCCAGCAGCAAGTACATATTAAACAATAATGCAAAAAAGGGCCTATTTTAAGTTAAGAAACTAGAAACTGCTATTTCTATATTAATTTCACACATCGTTTACTGTTTATCATGACACCTATAGATAGGTCTTCACTGGGATTAGAACATCCCGGAGCCTTACGCCAACACCCAGTGGTTGTTTATTAGATAAATATACACCCCCTTCCTTTGCTGTCCTATCCAAACATTCCTACCCCCGGAATCCCCTGCACCTACAAGCAGTGGCTGGACAATACTGCCATTCGTAAAACCACGATACACAGTGAAGGATGAAGGGCTGCCCTGTGACTTCACACTGGTCATTTTTCTGTGCCATTTTCAGCTTCATGAGACAATACACACATGTATTTTTATACTGATAATGGGGTCAAACATGGTTAAAAATGAAAATAGGTGTCAGTGTTTATGAAGCATTTACACTAGGACACATTGCTGATAGTGGTATGCACAAACACCATAAACAGAAAAAATAATGGACTATTGAAAGGCTGTAAGTATTTTCAAGCAGTGAGTCACTGACCAGAGCTTTCAAGCTCTGCTTAAAAATACACACACATTAAAATTCATTTAATACCTTTCCCTCGAGGTGACTGTGAAGTTCATTAGCTCAGTCAGGGGTATTATTTGCCAGGAAAAGACTAAGATATTTATTCTGATATACACAAATTAAAATGCTGATTAGTAAAAGTACTGCAAAATTAAAGAACAGTGGCACAATCTTTTTGGAGAATCCTTCCAAAATTTGAAAACATTCTTACCGGACACAGCCACACCATAGACGTTGGTTTCCTGTATGAAATCCAGCACTCCAATGACATCAGCAACCTCTGTGGTTGCAACATTTTCTCCTTTCCATCTAAACGAAAAACATATTCCAATGAGACCTGAACTAGGTACCCAGTTTTAGTTTTAGTGCATTTGGCTCTGTGCAAGCTGCAAGCGTCTAGTGACAAAAAACTAGCTTTAGTTAAATAAAAGGCATTTTAAAGAAAGCACTTTGTTGATAATTCAACAAAAGTAGCATCTCTCTCCTTTTTTTTTTTCTTAATAGATATTTTTGCTGCAGGGCATGTGCACTCGCTGGAGAGAGAGAGATTGTTTGAAACAGTGAGAGGAAAAGTGAGAAATCACCCCCCTAGAGTATGGCCATCCCTAGAGTATGGCCACAATGCAATCCCTTCTCCTCTATTCTCTTCCTGGGATCTTAGGCACACATATACAATTGCCCACTGCGAGTTTCAAACCACTGGGTCTGGGATTCAAACCACGGTTGGCTGTGTGATAGTCCACTGATGCAACAGCTAAGTCATCTGCTGGCCTTAGCATCTCTTATTTTGGTCAAAACTGCTCTATGTCTCTGCCATAAATTGTTTAATGTATTAAAATTTCTTATAATGCATCATAGAAATAAAAATAATGATAAGGAGTATTATTACAAAATTTTTTATTTTGTAAAATAACAATTAAATGTAAAACAGGCCTTATCTGTGTTGACAGGATATATAAAACTAAAAAACAAAAATTATTGCTGTCTTTTGGTGTGCTGAACAACTTTAGTTTCTAGATGTTTAACCCCTTTGACTCCTTTAATGTGTATGAATACATACTAAACTTCAATTAAAATAATTTTAAATAAAGTGAGCTTAAAACATAGTAAAAGAAGGCTAAGAGGAGTGGCCAGCAGGTGGCGTGGTAGTTAAGAGTGCTGGACTCCAACATGGCTGATCATGATTCGAGTCCTGGACCTGGTGAATTGCTTTCTCACTTTTTCTCTCTCTCTGCTCAGATTCAAAAAATAATAATATAAAATTAAATGCATAATTCTTGAAAATAAAGAAGGCTAGGAGGTGGGTAGTAGAAGTTACTGACTCATTTAAGCATTTGCTGAATGCTTATAGTTATTGAGTAGTATCGCAAAATAATGTTATAAGCCTAAAACAATCTTACGGAATTAAAAAAGGGAATACAAGAAAGGAAAATTGTACTGCTTTGATATTTTTATTACTGACTCAAGAATTAGACCATACTTACCGAAAATGTATTTCTGATTTAACTTTACCATTTAGACTTCATGTCTGTCTTAACTTAATATAAAAAAAGGAAGTCACTGATTTGGACTAAATAAAATAATTAAAACAATTTTAAAACTTTATATCAAAGACTTAACTTACAGTTCAGTGTAGAAACAGATGGCCAAGGAATTTTTAAATGGGGAGAGACGAAATGCTGTGTGTGCCCGGAGAGCTATAAAGCATGTGGTCTCTGATGTTTCTGTGAAAGCATGGTGCTGTGCACTGCAGAACAAGCTGAACATCTTAAATATTTTATACCTGAAAGTGTCTCCAATACGGTCCCAAAAATAAAGGAAATTCTCCTGATCTTGCACCATTAAATCTCCTGTGTTAAAGTAAACATCTCCCTTCTTGAAAACATCAAAAAGCAATTTTTTTTGAGTGTGCTTGTAAGACCCAGCATAACCAAAGAAGGGATTTTTTGCATTCACTTGAGAAATGAGAAGTCCAGGTTGTCCTGCAAGAGAGAAGGGCATTTTTGTTGCCATTTGCTGTAAACTATTGTTACATACACCGTGCACAAAATTAAATTAGAATTGGTCAATGCAACCAATATCGGTCACCTGGCTTTTCCTTGAATTTACTTTTATTATATTTGATATCATTTACTATTGATTCTGACATCTAGAACATCCTTTCATGGATTACCACAAACTCAAATTACTTTTTTTTTTTTTTTTGAGAAGTTTTTGCTATAGGGCACATGCGCTCGCCAGACAGACAGAGAGAGACAGAGAGACAGAAAGCAGGAAATCACCCCCCCCGGGGGGGCGGCCACGCCTGCCTTCCCTTCTCCTCCATTCTCCTCTCGGGATCTTGGGTACACACGCACACGCGCCCCATGTGAGTTTAAGCCACCGGGTCCGGGACTCGAACTGCAGTCGACTACGTGGGAGTCCAGCGACATAGCCATTATGCTAACTGCTGGTCCCAAACTCAAATTACTTTTGAAAAACTAACCAAAAGAAAATCAAATTTAAAAAGAAAGTGCATTAAATTCATCTCATTTCTTGAATGGATAAACCAATGATATTTTTTGTTTTGGATTATATATATTAACACAGATACTATTAACAGTGATATAAATAACGCAAGTAATAATTTTAATAAAATGACAATTCTACTATTCACTGGACACTGACCATAAGCCTTTTACAATGATCTTATTTATTCGTCACAAAAAATCTTTTGAAATTGATACTGTAATCCCTATTTCATAGGGA